CAAACTGAGTATATGATATTCAAATTCAGGTCACCTCCAGTGAAAAGTGCATGTCAAATACATTAGTGTGTCCAGACGTCTAGGCAGCTGAATTTATTTGGAAATGTTATAGTGACACTAAACTCGGGAGTTAACTCTTAAAAATGCATTCAGGTACCTTAAAGTTGCATAAAACTCTCCAACTTGTTTCCAATAATAAATCCAGATCAAACAAATATACATTGCCCAGCAAAGCATTGCTTTATTTTTTTACCCAAATACTTGACAATCATCATGTTTCTGAACAGTTGCTTCCAAGTCTCTCAGCTCAGCTTCCCTAAACTTCCCGTCCAGTAGAAGATCACAAGGGACAGAGCAGTCTCCAGCAACTGTTCATCTACTAGCTTGGAGAAGGGAGGAGAGGGTGCAGGGAAGTAGCTTGATTTGCTCTGTCTGTGTGTTTTTGGAGACACATACAGCTTACTAGCACACACAAGGGTGACTGCATAGCTTAAGAAAGGAGTCACTCTAAAACAGGGAGTCAGGACCAGTGCTCAGGGGACCAGATGATTCTGCAAGAAACTAAAAACTTTTAAACATCAAGAAGGAGCGTCATCCATTGCAAGTGGTTTCATCGGCACTTGAAATAGCTTAACATTCTTTTGACTTTAATTCTTTTGACTTTAATATCACTTTAACTATTAACAAAAATGTATCTTGTCGACACCGTCCTTCCTTCTGGAGGGTGGCTACTTTTGTTCCCCATGATCCCTGTGTGTGTTGTAAAGTAGCCACCGCTCCAAGCTCACTCCTGTGATAGACTACAATCTCACGTTTAGTTTACTAATTTGTATTGATATTGTAGTCCATCAGAGGAGCGAGCTTGGAGCGGTGACTACTTTACAACACACACAGGGACCATGGGGAACAAAAGTAGCAAAAAAGTCAGTGAGGTTACCCATCATATTATGGAACTACTTGGCAGGCTCAGGTAGTAGCTGGCAGTGGGAAGGGGTAGGGGACATTCAGCTTTCTGAAAAAAAAATTGATATTTGAATAGAAATTCAGCTGCCTATACCACTGGATGTTCTGATCATTTTCATGTGCAAAAGACAACATATACTTATGTATTTGCCATTTCCAGCTGTCAGTATAGAAGAATCCAATTGGTAGAACAGTTAGTTCAGCACACTAATACACAATTCTAGCACACACTCAACTTCAATCATTGCTTGGAGGATGAATTGGATGTTTCCCAGACAATCGCTATGATTTTCCCCCAAAGAGAGTGGTAAAATACACTCAGTTGGAGAAAGCATGTGCGTCTGCTAGATTTAAACCTGCATGTCTGCACTGTTATCTAGAGAAATTGTTTAACAGTCAAATCTAATATGAACTGTCTGCCAGATTATGAATAGCTCTTCAGAATTTCTTTTCCCAACACAAAGGAAGTGGACGGGTACTTATCCAGACAACCATGGTTGATGTACAGTACACTACCCACATAGACCTACCTTTATGTGCAAATACATTGTGGCAACATATTCCAGTGCATTACATAGCATAATGCTGTGCTAGACAAGTCTGCCCTCTTGTGTTCCATATGAGAATGACAGTCATCTGCAAAAAAACACTTTAAGGAGTTCTAAAGTTCCAGCATATCCTCTCCAGTTATAACATCAGCATTGTAATAGGAATACATACTAGACTTGGGTTTGATAATACAATCAAAGCTTACTTTAAAAAAAAATCCCTTTTATGTAGTGAGTGTTGCCTTCCGCCTGCCCATCACTTTCACCAACTTCCTGGATTCCCAGTGTGCTTTGCGTCTCTTTCCCTGCTGCTTGATGTAATGCAATCTCCATTTCTCAATACTACATATCCCATCACACATTGCTTCCAGCAAGCAATGATAATGTTACATTGTTCAGACATTGATTTGTAGTTCAGAAGGCAGGCTCTGTGAGGAAGTGCATATTCCCAGGGCTGAGTGGCATTGTGTCAGTACATCCTATGAGCATCATCAATAAGTAGGCTTACAAACTTCTATTTCCATATGGTTATTAGGAGTGGGATAGAACTTATGGAAATTCAATACAGAAATACAGAAATACAGATTTATTTTTCGTTGTTGATAACATTTAAAGCAGACATATGAAACTCAGGTGAATGAGAGGGCTAAATTCAGTGGCAATAATATTCACGGGCCACATTACGTCTTAGGGCCACGCTTACTTCATTTAAAGAAAAAGTTTATAGCACTCCAGTACTTAAGATAAAGTAACAAAACCAACTGACAATGATTTTTCTGAATGGGTTTAGCTACAGACCGAGGTTTCAATGTTGAGCTTTTTTCAGACTAACTCCATAAGGAATCCCATAGCCATTGTATCCGTCTGCTGCCTCAGCACTCCCCTAGGAACCCGCAGCTCTGATGCAAGACCTGGGCTGACTCTTGAGAGGAGTAAAATAACTGAATGGGTGTGTGTCAGTCTGGAGAAATGGGTGTCCCTGGGCAGACTACACTTACATGGAAAACACCCTACAGCTGAAATCCAAAGAATGAAAGGTGGGCCAGAGACAGCAAGGCCGGGGAGGAAAGGGTTATATAATGCTGGACTTCCTCCAGCCAGGAAATGAGGCGGGCTCTATGACTTGCTGCAACTTCTAATGCTTATTGGGAGAAGCTCACAGTGTGCAGTGAAATCAGAGTAACCAATTTCAGTAGATCCCTGTTCACACCTTTGATGCTCAAAGCGAAGTGTGACAAAACTCTCAACACAAGAAATCCCATTCATTTCTATGGCCCCTGTTCACACCTGGGAGTTTTGTCGCAAGCTGTAAACCGCTGAAAAGGGTACATGGGCTTCTTTTGGGCAGAATCCAGCAAGTTTGGCAGCATAGGACTTCAATGGCAGCGCATTAAAACGCACATGAGCGGTTTGTGCACGTTTCCTCATTCACAGCAATGCATTTTGATCTGCTCAAGAAAACACGCGTCTTTGCCAATGTGTGTCCAACGCGCAAACCACGCAAGGGAAATACGTGCGGAAACACTGACGCCTAGGTGTGCATGGAGACTATGAGAGGGGAGCCGGTACAACCGCGCAAGCCTGAAGGGAAGGGCTGGAGTTCAGCTTTAAGGACACAGAGTTTGGTTTCATGAAGTCACTTCTGTAAATGGAGCCAACAAAAGGCACTTGCCTGGCATACGTACATAAAAGTCGCTCGCACTTTTTAATCATTAAAATTAAAACTAAAACAACTACAAAAATAAAATCCAAATTTTATTGATCTAGCTAACTATGGCAGCCAAGGTTCAAACAGTCAACGTCCTCTCATAACAAGGTCACAATAGGTTTTAGTCCACATTCATGTATCCTTACCCAGAGGTAAGAACTGACCTCACTTTACATTCTCCTTGTACAGTACTTGTGTACTGTATGAAATGCAAAATTCAAACTAAATCTGACCCATAAAAATATCAATACCCAGGTGTAATAAACACCGGACGTACCTTTCACTCACACCTAGAAAAAAGGTTTACAAAAATAGAATAAATAAAATGGACACCCGCTCTTAGATTGCCCATGTACAGTAAGATGAGTGGGCCGTCCTACACTGCTCAGGCATCCAGAAATTCCATCCAAACTAGAGTTCTGGGGTCTTTACTGCTGTCACACTTCTCTCTGGAGAATCGGGGTGCAAACACAAAGAAATGCTGTATTGTGCCCTCTAGTGGATGCTACTAGGAATACATGGTGTATAGTTGGACAACTACAGCTTGGCTGAAAAGCAAATATAAGCCTCCCACAAGCATTCCTGAGGTGGTGGGCAAATGTTGACCTAGGACAGCAGTAAAGGTCTGGCAGATAAATGAATCTTGCCCCCACAGACAGAGGGTGCAATTTATCAAAACTGGAGCAGACAAAATCTGGAGCAGCTGTGCATGGCAACCAATCAGCTCCTCTCTTCAGTTTGTTCAGTTAAGATTTGAAAATAGAGAATCCGATTGGTTGCCATGCAGAGCTGCTCCAGATTTTGTCTGCTCCAGTTTTGATAAATTCCCTTCAGAGGTGTGTTCATAACAGACCTGAACTTCCAGGGGACCACAGTTGGCTCTGGTATCAGTTTGTGGCAGGAGCTGATTTTTAGCTCCTTAAAGACTATCTCTGGGCAAACCTTGCAGTGGGGCTACCCCTGCATTGCAAGAGTTAATGGTTCATTTATGTCTAGAGGACCAGAGTAAAGCCCTTGCTTTCCCTATCCCCACTCCCCTGGCGGTCAGGGCTCACCTAGCTCCTCCTCTGCACCGGCTGTGGCCCCCCCCCCGTATCCTCTCATCTAATGCAGGTCTATGGAACCTGAATTCAACTTGATGATGTCTGCGGTCCTTAAACCACCGGAGTGAAGGGGAGAAGAGAGGGACCAGTCTAGCAGCCTGGAGGAAGCTAATGGGAGTGGGGATCAGGTAAGTAAAAACTGTTTACTGTCCCCTAGGTATGAACAAGCAGTTAACCCTTGCAGTAAGGGGGTAGCCCCACTGCAAGGGTAACTTTTGGGGGTTTGCCCAGAGATATGGTAAAAGCAAAAGTGCACTTTAAAGTCTATCGGGCAAAGGTACACTTTAATGGTGGTGCAAGCAGCTGCTTATACCCATCTTTCCTTTCCTCCCCCCTTGCTCTATTTGCCTGAGTAAGTAATGTGACGTTCCTGGTACTTCCAGATAGGGAGTAGCAAGTGATTCACTCACCCTCTTGTCCTGCGACATCCCTAATTACTTGGCCACTATGACACCAAGTGTTCTCACATGAGGGTGAGGAGAGAGTCCTTGGCCCTGTGGAAGCTCTAACTAAGGCAACTTGGAATTTAAAGAAGGCTTCTTCTCCTCGCTCATGTGAGCCAATAAAGTTCTAGGGTAGCAAAGAGAAGGAGATTAAAAGACACCATAAAATTGAGCCTGTTGCTTTGTCCTACAAAGGCAAAACACAGGTGAACTGCAAGCAAGCCAGTTATTGGCAGATGAGGACTAAGAAACCCAACTTCAAGTACTGTATGGAGACATCTATATAGAATGAGATGCCAAGTCCTGGAGAAATGCCAGGAGTGTCCGTATTTCCCTTTGTCCATAAAATGTCCTTTATCCTGAGTCTTCTCCTAATACAGGAAACTTTACCCAAGTGAGCCTGCTTCAGCGCTCATTCCTTGGCTTTCCGCAGACTTAGTAGGGAATGTGAGACATTCTCGTAGACTACAAATGTGATACAGCACGCTGGAGTCACTCGGATCACATTGGGGATAATGCCTTTGTAGAAGCCATGAACGCCTTCTTTCCTTTGGGGAGAGGAATTAAAGGAAAAGATGTCAACATGTGTATTCACTGCAATAACCCCAAACATTTTCCACCAACATAACAATGCACAGATAGTCCATAAAGCCAATATCATTCTTCGATCACACAAGGCAGTAAGCTACAACTTTAAATGCAGGTCACTGCTCTAAGGTTTTACATCAGACTAAAACTTTAAAGCCCAATTGAACCCTCAGTTTACGTCCGCTTATTATACTCTCGATGCATCAAAACAGATGTTGTACAAAGCTTTATAGTCCGTTTCCTTTCAAAAGCAATACTTCAAAACATATACCCAAGGTCTGTACAGTCTGGAAAATATCTCACCCCCTCTTAAATAGTCTATCAATACAAACCATTGCACAAGTGTAAAAAGCATATAAAGTTATAATACAGTACATATATACATATATATAAATAAATAAATAGAAGAATCGATGGCTTAGAATGCGGAGGGAGGGTTGCAGAGACACAAAGTTTGTTTGTAGAGTGAAGGCCTAATTTAAGGTGACACAGCTCCCTGCCTTGTGTGAAAGGAGCCTTAGGAAAGAAAAAGGAGAGCTGTCAATGCAGATTTGTGCTCCTCATGGCACAGGTGAGGAGCACATACTGGGCACCGCCTGGGAGAATAGCCCAGTACTGCACAGCTTTCCAGTTAAGATCCCAGGCAAATCATGCTCATTCACCTCCTGACCCTTCAGTTGGACCCATGTGGGTCTCCATTTCTATACAAGTTGATGGGAACAATTGATGAACGTGGGAATATTTTTGCTATGGCACAAAACTATCAAATCTATACACTTTACAGTCCTTACCTCCATGTCCTTGTAATAACATCCATGACCCCGGAATAGCGGTTGTGCTGATCTTGAAGACGAGCTCGAACAACTTGATATGGGTAAGTAGCCATCACTGCAAATATCTTAGACAATGCCGCCATTGTGATGTACTCCAAGGTGCTCTAAAAGAAAAAAACATTGTATGGGCTGCTGTAGATTTGGTGTGGAATGACCGAACAGATTTGGCTATACATGTATATGCACACCAAGCTACGATCTGGCATATACTTCACTAAGAGTCAATGCACAACATCTGAAGACGCCAGCTTAACTCTGTTTTCCCTTTATAAATTAACATATGACAAAAAGAGATTACCCAGTTCTTTGACAAGCTTTGGGGACTATAGATCTATTCCTCCCACACTATAGCTGACTCCTCTTCATAGTGAAATACAATATAACCTGTTTTATTAGCCCCCCCAGCTTGTATTATTCCCCTGTATACCCTCTTTGCCCATGTGTCATGTCCATGCTATCTGTACAATAAATAATTCTACACTTCATGTCTATGCCTTTGGAGATGCAACTGAATGCACCTAATGACAACTATCATAATCAAACACCTTCATACTCTGCAAATGTCTACAACCACAAAAGGACGCATTTCAAGTACACCCTTACTTAATATGAAGGCTGCCATGGTTCGTCTCCTTTATATTGCTCATACTATTAATATGAGCAATATAAAGGCTGCCATTGTTTGTCTCCTTTTAAAAATGATATGGCCTCAATTCAGTGTCACAGACCCGGAACAAACTTGCTGCAAATAAAATGCAAACAATCAGAACACCCTACATGTTGCTATAGTGTAATAATAAATATATGATCAGCAATCTGCTCTTGGCCTTTTGTTTAGTGGAAATACAAAGTATCATTTATCAAGCACACAGAAGCTTACCAACTTTGTATCACTGGGTCGATTAAGGTGTTTATTATAATCCATTTTTAGTTCTTCATAGGCCATAAATTGAAGGGCGCCATGCGATGTTCCTAGAAGGCCTGGAACAAACCCCTGCAGACAGAACAGCGACAGAAGGCATTAATAATGCAGACAAGAACATCAATATGAGACACAATTCACTACAAAAAGGAAAGTGAACCCCCAGCAGTGTTAACAGTGTGTGAAGGGAACTTGTGGCATGAAACATGCTGTACCATCAGACCATAATAATGACTTGGACGTTTTTTCCATTATCATTTGTGGGAGAGCACTTAAAGTGACACTAAACTCAGGAATTAAATCCTTAAATACATTCAAGTACTTAAACTATTACCAAAAATGTATCTTATTTATCACTCGGCTGTAGATCCTCAAATCATCTCTGAATTGGTGCTGACATTGTCCTTCTTCCTGGAGGGTGGCTATGTTCCCCATGGTCCCCGTGTGTGTTGAAAAGTAGTCACCGCTCTAAACTCACTCCTGTGATGGATCTACAATCTTAATACAAATTCTTAAACTAAATGTGAGATTGTAGTCCATCATGGAAGCGAGCTTGGAGCGGTGACTACTCCCCACAGACTGGAGAACTTCGGCTCTGACTCTGCTAGGGGTGTGCTGGGCTTCTGCAGCGAAACCATTGCTTCCCCACAGAGATCAAAGTTCCCACTCTGCAGCACACTGGCAGAGACAGCCACAGTCTGTCAGGCTTTTCTAAATCAGACTGTGGCGGTTTTTTAAAGAAAACAAAAACGTGAAACTTTGTACACCTTTCGTTTAAATCTGGAATATTTTAGCGAATTTAAACTGAAAGTTCAACCCAACGATTGTTTTGTATTGTCTTGATAGGAAGGGTACAACTGGAGAAATCTGTTTTAAGAGACAAGTTTAGGAGTCAGCAGAAGGGATCTATGTCTGGGCCGGCCCTCCCACTTGTGAGTTATGAGCAAGGAGCACTATGTAACCATGTAACTATAGTAACATAGTATTTGAGGTTGAATAAAGACACAGGTCCATCAAGTTCAACCTATTGCGTGTGTGCATGTGATTCTGCATGTGTAGGAGTCCATGTTTGATCTTGTTCTTAAGTGTACCTGTACCCCTGTATGTTACGGTCTCTGAGGAAATTGTCCAAATGCTTTTTTAATGGTTACAAAAAGCTCCTATTTGTTTTTATTATTTCACATGTGTATGTAGGACTGTTAGAGACCAGGGGACCCTATAAAATGTTATAACCCTAAGTTTATTTTATCCCCCAAGAACATTGCCTATAATCTTATGAGACCTTTACCTATACATCCATTGTGAACAGTATGGCGGCTTAGACAAAGCTCATCATGCAAGCTGCAAGCTGGATATTAAATATTAAAGGTAAGAGAAATTTGGGAACACAGTAAGGAATAGTCATTTAGAAAGTGGTCTGGGACAAGAGGATGGAGAAAAAAAATATATAATTTAATCCTTTGCCTCTGGTCAAGCCACCTCTTCATGTACTGTGCATGTCTCATACTACTCCATTCTCTACATCTGCTTGTCTTTATGTGATAGGCAGAGGTCTATGGAGTTTAAAATCTTTCGGGAGCAGAGGTAAGAAGCTCCTTGACCCCATCGATCTGCTCATTTAGCACATCAATTATGCACATCAAATAAAATACCTTATAGAGCCCAGGGATTCCTTCATGTCTGTATATTTTAGCCAGGGCGTGGAACATGCCTCTGTACTGGCGTTTTGATGGGTCAACTCCGGCATCATACTGAAGAACAAGACGAGTCTTGGTAACCCATATCGGGTTTGTAAAACACAGAGTTATGGCACCTGAAGAGAGATTAAAAAAAAAAGTATTACCCATACAGGATATGAGCAAAGGACTCCAGTAATTTGACTGCATCACCCTGTGAACACTTCCATCTTTCCATCTTACTGCCTGTCAGTTCATTAGGCAGGTCTAATCATAATTCATATACCATGACTTGACTCAAGTAAAAGACCAATTAGTCACAACACAGTTATTCTAGAAGGGCAGTTTATAATAATGACTGGCTAGCAGTAGGAGTTTGTGTAATGATTTTGGCAACTGAGCTAAAACAGAGGTTTTCAAAAAGTTTCCTTTCCATGTGTGACATCATTCCTCCTTGGTGTAATAGTGATAGTAAATCATAACTAGACTTATATTTCTTTAAAAAAAAAACATATTATCGTTATTATATACACTGAAAAATAACATTTTATTTTTTGGTCAGGTAAATTTGACATATTGTATAATAATAGGTTATATTCTCATTCTCAGAGAATACTAGCCCCATTCTCACATGTTTACCAGTCTATCCTTATCTGCTTAGGTAAGGATAGACTGGTAAAAAAATAAAATAAAAAAAAAGTCTGTTTACAGAACTCAATAGCTCAAGTGGAAATTTACATGAGCCAGAGAAGTGACTTCCCTGACTGCTCTGTTCAGATAGCTTAAACCATTAGAGAAAGTCTGAAGGCAAATAGCTACTGTTGTGCTCTTGGTAAATGCCATGATATGGGTGCACTCTAGAATAAAATGTTATTTGTAAATTAAAGATTTTTCTTTTACTTTTTAGAATAAGTTTAAAAACCTCTACATTTAAAAGAAATAACATTTTAAAAATTGACCCAAAACTATTTTAACCGCTTGCCGTCCGCACGTTGTGAAAAAAACGGACGGACGGCAGACTCACACAGGCGGGTTGCCGTAATTAGACGGCATTTTTTTTCTGCTTGCGCGCGCACGGGTAGAAAAAACCCGTCCTCCACTGCTACTGTTATACAGCCTGCAGGGCTCTGCACGAAGTCGTGGCGGTCTGTTTTCCGTTTATGTGCCTTGTTGCAGGGCTTGCATGCCCTACTTCTGTTATTTTTGTAACCTTTTATGTGAAAAAATGACAAAACCCAAATAAAAACCTTTGTGAAAGAAAAAACCCGTCCATTCTTTACAGCCGTCACCTGCTGTTTTTCATACAAACGATTGGCGGCTATATAGCTGCCGATCGCTTGTATGTTGTTTTGCTCCGCCCCCCGCGAGAGTGCCGCAGCCTGGGGTGCCGCCCCTCTAAGACAAGCTTCTAAGCATGCCCGGCACCCACTAGTCAGAGGGCGTAGCCATCTGAGCCTTGTAAGCGGTATCAGCCTTTGTTTATCAAAACACACTGAAGTATGTTAGATATGAAGATTCGTCAGGGAGGCTTTGTGATGCAGCACAGCTAAGATTCCACGTACAGGAATAGATCACCATGACAGTCAGGGAACTAATACTTTCAGAAGAAGAGTTAAACAATGACAGCCTGAAGAATCAGCCATTTGTGTTTGATTTACTACCATGGATTAGATATCCATTACTTGGATGACTACAAACCTTCACAGACATCCTCTAGTGCAGGGGTAGCCAAACTCCGGCCCTCCAGCTCTGGTGGAACTACAAATCCCATGAGGCATTGCAAGATTCTCACAGCCACAACTCCCGGAGAGAGATGCATCATGGGATTTGTAGTTTCAACACAGCTGGAGGGCCGGAGTTTGGCTACCCCTGCTCAAGTGCCTTGGTTCTCAACTGGTGGGTCGTGATCCAAAAGTGGGTTGCCACGCGCCTTCCACTTTTCTTGGCAAGAGGCTCCTCAGCCTCCCGCTAGCACAGCACTGTCAGTTCTCGCGCTGAGCAGCCATTCAGAATATGCTACCTGGCGCCGAGTGTCAGCTTGAGGTGGGATGGGCTGGAGCTCTGGCCGTGAGGGAGCTCCATCCATATATGCATTACTTACAGCTCCCTCGCGTGTCCCCGTAGTGACGTCACATTCTGGCTCCCGACACCTCTACAGGGTGGGGAAGGGAGCTGTACAAGCAATTCTGGTGTGGAAGGTGCATTGCGTTGCCATGCATTTGAATGGCATACCAAACCCACATCCCGCCTACAGTTCAATCACCCGCACTGGAACGCACAGTACCGCAATGCCGTGCGTTCCATTGCAGCGCAACTTGGGTCGCAGAAATAATGACCAAGGACAAATGTGGGTCCTGAGGTTGCACAGGTTGAGAACCACGGATCTAGTGTATTATTATTAACCATTACTAAACCTGGATTAAAAAAATATTGCTGTTCCCATGATCCCAGTTTAAAAGAACACTCTGCTTTTTAATAAGATCATTGAAAGAAACAAGATGGCTGCCTGCGATGGCCTCCTTCTAAAACTACTAGTTGCCTGGCAGTTTCTGGTGTCAATACTTTCTACATCACTGGCCCAAAGAACACATTCAAATTAGAAAGAGTAAGGCCAGAACATGTAATTCCAGCTGTCAGAGCCCATAGTCCATCTGCATTTCCACCAGTGGCCACAGCTACTTACCTGCTCCCGCTGCAGACAGTAGGTGTTCGGTGGCAGTCAAGTTCCCTGCTCTCCCCTCCTTCTTGTATTCTTTGATTGCACTATAGCTGCAATGTGAATAAATAAAGCATTAATGAGAGCATAGCATGGAGGTCAGGGGTCATATGGCTGCATTCACTTCCATCCATTTAAACACAAGCCACTATTTCATGTATTTGTTCTACAATGCCATATACAGCACCATTACATTGACCGACGTGAATAGGCCTATGCCTAATGTATATGTAAACTGGAAATGTATAAACAACATTAACGTCAAACCCATTTGAGACATACCCCTCACTTCCTGTTCTGATATCCAACATATAAACAGGGAGCACTGGGACATCTAGCCAATAGGGCCCCAGTTGGCAATAAAAACTCCTTTACAGCTCAGGGCACTTTTAGAAAGTTTGTTTTTAGAGGGAAAAAGTCAGTGTAAAACCGGGGAGCTGCCGAATCAACAAAAAGGTCCCATGGACCCCCAAGATGGGGAACACTTTAACCACTTCACTGACAAAATACGTCTTGTCCTGAAGTGGTTATACCAAGAACATCTGTAAGGGGAACATTCTTCCCACTGTCCTCCAATGTAAGGGACATTCTTCCCACTGTCCTCCAATGTAAGGGACATTCTTCCCACTGACCACCAATGTAAGGGACATTCTTCCCACTGACCACCAATGTAAGGGACATTCTTCCCACTGACCACCAATGTAAGGGACATTCTTCCCACTGACCACCAATGTAAGGGACATTCTTCCCACTGACCACCAATGTAAGGGACATTCTTCCCACTGACCTCCAATGTAAGGGACATTCTTCCCACTGTCCTCCAATGTAAGGGACATTCTTCCCACTGTCCTCCAATGTAAGGGACATTCTTCCCACTGTCCTCCAATGTAAGGGACATTCTTCCCACTGTCCTCCAATGTAAGGGACATTCTTCCCACTGTCCTCCAATGTAAGGGACATTCTTCCCACTGTCCTCCAATGTAAGGGACATTCTTCCCACTGTCCTCCAATGTAAGGGACATTCTTCCCACTGTCCTCCAATGTAAGGGACATTCTTCCCACTGTCCTCCAATGTAAGGGACATTCTTCCCACTGTCCTCCAATGTAAGGGACATTCTTCCCACTGTCCTCCAATGTAAGGGACATTCTTCCCACTGTCCTCCAATGTAAGGGACATTCTTCCCACTGTCCTCCAATGTAAGGGACATTCTTCCCACTGTCCTCCAATGTAAGGGACATTCTTCCCACTGTCCTCCAATGTAAGGGACATTCTTCCCACTGTCCTCCAATGTAAGGGACATTCTTCCCACTGTCCTCCAATGTAAGGGACATTCTTCCCACTGTCCTCCAATGTAAGGGACATTCTTCCCACTGTCCTCCAATGTAAGGGACATTCTTCCCACTGTCCTCCAATGTAAGGGACATTCTTCCCACTGACCACCAATGTAAGGGACATTCTTCCCACTCTCCTCCAATATAAAGGGACATTCTTCCCACTGTCCTCCAATGTAAGTGACATTCTTCCCACTGTCCTCCAATGTAAGGGACATTCTTCCCACTGTCCTCTAAAGTAAGGGACATTCTTCCCACTGTCCTCCAATGTAAGAGACACTCTTCCCACTGTCCTCCAATGTAAGGGACATTCTTCTGACTGACCACCAATGTAAGGGACATTCTTCTGACTGACCACCAATGTAAGGGACATTCTCCCCACTGTCCACCAATGTAAGGAGCATTCTTCCCACTGATCACTAAAAAAAAAAAAAATGGACATTTCCACTCATGTCCACCCAAAGACCACTCATTTGATGGACATTGTTCCCACTGACCACCAATATAAAAAGCATAATTTCTACTGGCCACTAGTGCAACAGGGTCCTTCTCTCTCCCAATGACCACCAGAATAAGGTGGTTCTTCTCAAACTGACCACCAATCTATAGGGGCCCTTTCTTCATGAACTACAAATGTAAGGAAGAACTTTTCCACAGACCACCAATGTAAGGGAACATACATTTGCCTACATTTCTTTTCTGGCAATTGTTATTAGTTTCGTTTCAATATTAATGAAAATAATGTCGGTATATAGAGCAGCCCTGGGTGTGAAATACTATAGGCATCCGATTACTTATTTTATTCTTATATCTCAACTTACTGTTCATACCGAAGTACCAGGAGTGGTAGATACAGTAATTACTTTTAGGGGTTTCCTCAAAGCGGAAAGTTATTTCAAGGGTTCCTCCATGTTAATACGGTTCAGAAATGCTGTTATAGAACAAATCTAATACTGCACTGAGCCAGTAAACACTTACAAGAAAAAGTAAAGGCCCCAGGAGGCACCAGCTCCCCACATATTGGGTGTCACCCCCTGATAGAGGCCACGTAGACCTTCATGCTTCCATACTGTAGACATGCAGTGCAGTATGCCGTTGTATCTGGGTCTGAGCTCCAGGCCATCGTTGACTGGAAGAGAAAAAAAAAAAAAAGAGAGACATGAGATTCAGCCGTTTAATAAAAGTTGCAGCACACAATGGGGGGGAACTGGAGCAGACAGAATCTGGAGCAAATGCCCATAGCAACCAAACAGATTCTCTCAAAGTTTGTTTCGTTAAACTTAAAAAATGAAGATAGACTCTGATTGGTTGCTATGGCAACTGTTCCAGAGTCTGCCTGCTCCAGTTTTGATAAAGGCACCCGCATATTGTTCCCGGTAACAGTCGGGCCTGTTCACAATCGCAGTGCATGGAAAACCACACCGTAATTTCACTGCATTGCCAGGCTTTTTCACACGGCCCCCCAGCTATCATAAGCTGCAACCCCCATACCCCGGTGCTTACTTACCTCCTTCATTGTTTACATCCTGACCAGAAAATTCTAGTGGGGCCTATGCTGTAACGTCCCATAGACTTAAACAGGCTTTTGTTCTGATGGTACCAGAACATCCATTTCAAGTTTATGGGATGTTACTATGCAGACACGAGCCTCAATAGATTTTGCTGGCCGGGATGTAAACAATGCAGGAGGCCGCTGAAATGGAAGGAGTTCAGTCAGCACATGGGGTGGGTGGGTCAGCTTAGGAAAGGGGGGCACAGGCTTTATATTTAAAGTAGAACTGAAGTAAAAACTTTTTTTATTTTTGGATAGAAGAAGGGGGGGTAATAACACCAATAGCTTTTTTTGTTGCCATCGTTGTCCCACTGGGGAGATTTCCCTTCACTTCCTGTCTGATAGTCACATTAGGAAGTGAGGGGAAATCCCTCCAAAGTGAAAGAAAAATCCCTAGTGGTCAGCAGGGTCACCAAAACTGTCCACATTGAAAGATTTCCCCTCTATTCCTGTTCTGTTGACAACCCAACATTTTTGTATCAGTGATAACAGTCACCAAGATAAATAGGAGGGGTGAATGTCCCTAATGGGGACACAGGCACCAATAAAAACAACGGGTGCTCTAGGCCCCCTGCACTCTATCCAAAACTAAAAAAGAAAAATCGCCTAATTTGCACTTTAAAAGCCCAGTTTAAGCCTCACACATTTTTTTTTTTATTTCTCTCTAGTCCCCCCCCCCAAGTTATGAACAATAATTTATTTTTCGTAGGAAATGCATCAAAATTCTCTGAGTAAAAATGCTGCTTCCTTCTCTCAGACTCCAGTGCTCTATGCTGATATAGCTGAGTTATAGCCACATCGCTTTGCACAACTGTCCTCAAACAGACCTCAATTGTAGAAGAAGGGAGGGGGTGCGACTGACTAAATCTGTTACTGAGCGCTGATCACGGAGAGCACTAGGTCTAACTCAGCTGCCTATTGGACTATACAGTCATATTTAGATTCCCTGAACAGCTACTGTAACAGGAAAAAGGATGTAAGACTATAAAATGGAGGTCAATAGTATAATGTCTGTCTGAAGAATGCACGGGTCAGTAGTAGTAAAATGTCTATTTCTGTGACCCGAGTTGGGCTTTAATCGATACAATACATTGGTGGCAATGAGTCCCACTGAAACCAATAGAGTTTCTCATGATCTGCATCAGTCTGCAGTGACTGTGGAGATGGACGGCTGCCACACAGATTATACTAAGCAGGAATGCTCGGGGGCAAGTTAATGCTTAATCTCCTCCAGGTAAATGAAGCATCTGAGAGACACAGTACACAGTGCGGCCATTATACACTGGACGGTGTCACTGTATACACTGCAATCTATATTGTACTATTATTGCTCAGACATCAATGGGGTGATTTGTGTTGTAAGGTCCATAAAAAGTCATCTACAGCCCATAAAAGTGTAAAACCTCAGCAGTGTTGTATCACCCATCACTAAAACTCAGCAGTGTTGTATCACCCATCACTAAAACTCAGCAGTGTTGTATCACCCATCACTAAAAACTCAGCAGTGTTGTATCACCCATCACTAAAACTCAGCAGTGTTGTATCATCCATCACTAAAACTCAGCAGTGTTGTATCATCCATCACTAAAACCTCAGCAGTGTTGTATCACCCATCACTAAAACTCATATAAAAATCAGTGCCGGGATAGTCTGTCAGTGTCATATAAATATATAACGATCGGAGCCGGAATCGACCTCAGTGTTAGAGAAATATGCACTGATCAGCCATAATATTATAACCACCCTACAGGACATCTCAGTGTCATGTGACTATCGGTGCCGGTCTGATCTCAGTGTCATGTGAAAATCAGTGCTGGTCTGATCTTAATGACATGTGAATATCAGTGCTGGTCTGATCTCAGTGTCATGCAACTATTGGTGCCGGTCTGATCTCAGTGTCATGTGAATATCAGTGCTGGTCTGATCTCAGTGTCATGTCGCTATCGGTGCTGGTCTGATCTCAGTGTCATGTCGCTATCGGTGCTGGTCTGATCTCAGTGTCATGTTACTATCAGTGCTGGTCTGATCTCAGTGTCATGTCGCTATTAGTGCTGGTCTGATCTCAGTGTCATGTCGCTATCGGTGCTGGTCTGATCTCAGTGTCATGTCGCTATCGGTGCTGGTCTGATCTCAGTGTCATGTTACCATCAGTGCTGGTCTGATCTCAGTGTCATGTCGCTATCGGTGCTGGTCTGATCTCCGTGTCATGTTACCATCAGTGCTGGTGTGATCTTAATGTCATGTTATTATCAGTGCTGGTCTAATCTCAGTGTCATGTTATTATCAGTGCCGGTCTGATCTTAATGACATATGAATATCAGTGCTGGTCTGATCTCAGTGTCATGTTACATCAGTGCCGGTCTGATCTTAATGACATGTGAATATCAGTGCTGGTCTGATCTCAGTGTCATGCGACTATTGGTGCCGGTCTGATCTCAGTGTCACGCGACTATCAGTGCTGGTCTGATCTTAATGTCATGTGGATATCAGTGCTGGTCTGATCTCAGTGTCACGCGACTATCAGTGCTGGTCTGATCTTAATGTCATGTTACTATCAGTGCTGGTCTGATCTCAGAGTCATGCAACTATCGGTGCAGGTCTGATCTCAGTGTCATGTTACCATCAGTGCTGGTCTGATCTTAATGTCATGTTACTATCAGTGCTGGTCTAATCTCAGTGTCATGTTATTATCAGTGCTGGTCTAATCTCAGTGTCATGTTATTATCAGTGCTGGTCTAATCTCAGTGACATGTTATTATCAGTGCTGGTCTGATCTGTGTCATGTCACTATCAGTGCTGGTCTGATCTTAATGTCATGTTACTATCAGTGCCGGTCTGATCTCAGAGTCATGCAACTATCGGTGCAGGTCTGATCTCAGTGTCATGTTACTATCAGTGCTGGTCTAATCTCAGTGTCATGTTATTATCAGTGCTGGTCTAATCTCAGTGTCATGTTATTATCAGTGCTGGTCTAATCTCAGTGACATGTTATTATCAGTGCTGGTCTGATCTGTGTCATGTCACTATCAGTGCTGGTCTGATCTTAATGTCATGTTACTATCAGTGCTGGTCTGATCTCAGTGTCATGTCAATATCGTTGCTGGTCTGATCTCTGTGTCATGTTACCACCAGTGCTGGTCTGATCTTAATGTCATGTTACTATCAGTGCTGGTCTGATCTCAGTGTCATGTCAATATCGTTGCTGGTCTGATCTCTGTGTCATGTTACCACCAGTGCTGGTCTGATCTTAATGTCATGTTACTATCAGTGCTGGTCTGATCTCAGTGTCATGTCAATATCGTTGCTGGTCTGATCTCTGTGTCATGTTACCACCAGTGCTGGTCTGATCTTAATGTCATGTTACTATCAGTGCTGGTCTAATCTCAGTGTCATGTTATTATCAGTGCTGGTCTAATCTCAGTGTCATGTTATTATCAGTGCTGCTCTGATCTTTGTCATGTCACTATCAGTGCTGGTCTGATCTCAGTGTCATGTTACCATCAGTGCTGGTCTGATCTTAATGTCATGTTACCATCAGTGCTGGTCTGATCTCAGTGTCATGTCACTATCGGTGCTGGTCTGATCTCAGTGTCATGTCGCTATCGGTGCTGGTCTGATCTCAGTGTCATGTTAATATCGGTGCTGGTCTGATCTCAGTGTCATGTTACCATCAGTGCTGGTCTGATCTCAGTGTCATGTCGCTATCGGTGCTGGTCTGATCTCCGTGTCATGTTACCATCAGTGCTGGTGTGATCTTAATGTCATGTTATTATCAGTGCTGGTCTAATCTCAGTGTCATGTTATTATCAGTGCCGGTCTGATCTTAATGACATATGAATATCAGTGCTGGTCTGATCTCAGTGTCATGTTACATCAGTGCCGGTCTGATCTTAATGACATGTGAATATCAGTGCTGGTCTGATCTCAGTGTCATGCGACTATTGGTGCCGGTCTGATCTCAGTGTCACGCGACTATCAGTGCTGGTCTGATCTTAATGTCATGTGGATATCAGTGCTGGTCTGATCTCAGTGTCACGCGACTATCAGTGCTGGTCTGATCTTAATGTCATGTTACTATCAGTGCTGGTCTGATCTCAGAGTCATGCAACTATCGGTGCAGGTCTGATCTCAGTGTCATGTTACCATCAGTGCTGGTCTGATCTTAATGTCATGTTACTATCAGTGCTGGTCTAATCTCAGTGTCATGTTATTATCAGTGCTGGTCTAATCTCAGTGTCATGTTATTATCAGTGCTGGTCTAATCTCAGTGACATGTTATTATCAGTGCTGGTCTGATCTGTGTCATGTCACTATCAGTGCTGGTCTGATCTTAATGTCATGTTACTATCAGTGCCGGTCTGATCTCAGAGTCATGCAACTATCGGTGCAGGTCTGATCTCAGTGTCATGTTACTATCAGTGCTGGTCTAATCTCAGTGTCATGTTATTATCAGTGCTGGTCTAATCTCAGTGTCATGTTATTATCAGTGCTGGTCTAATCTCAGTGACATGTTATTATCAGTGCTGGTCTGATCTGTGTCATGCAACTATCGGTGCTGGTCTGATCTTAATGTCATGTTACTATCAGTGCTGGTCTGATCTCAGTGTCATGTCAATATCGTTGCTGGTCTGATCTCTGTGTCATGTTACCACCAGTGCTGGTCTGATCTTAATGTCATGTTACTATCAGTGCTGGTCTAATCTCAGTGTCATGTTATTATCAGTGCTGGTCTAATCTCAGTGTCATGTTATTATCAGTGCTGCTCTGATCTTTGTCATGTCACTATCAGTGCTGGTCTGATCTCAGTGTCATGTTACCATCAGTGCTGGTCTGATCTTAGTGTCATGTTACTATCAGTGCTGGTCTGATCTCAGTGTCATGTCACTATCGGTGCTGGTCTGATCTCAGTGTCATGTCGCTATCGGTGCTGGTCTGATCTCAGTGTCATGTCACTATCGGTGCTGGTCTGATCTCAGTGTCATGTCGCTATCGGTGCTGGTCTGATCTCAGTGTCATGTCGCTATCGGTGCTGGTCTGATCTCAGTGTCATGTTACCATCAGTGCTGGTCTGATCTCAGTGTCATGTCGCTATCGGTGCTGGTCTGATCTCCGTGTCATGTTACCATCAGTGCTGGTGTGATCTTAATGTCATGTTATTATCAGTGCTGGTCTAATCTCAGTGTCATGTTATTATCAGTGCCGGTCTGATCTTAATGACATATGAATATCAGTGCTGGTCTGATCTCAGTGTCATGTTACATCAGTGCCGGTCTGATCTTAATGACATGTGAATATCAGTGCTGGTCTGATCTCAGTGTCATGCGACTATTGGTGCCGGTCTGATCTCAGTGTCACGCGACTATCAGTGCTGGTCTGATCTTAATGTCATGTGGATATCAGTGCTGGTCTGATCTCAGTGTCACGCGACTATCAGTGCTGGTCTGATCTTAATGTCATGTTACTATCAGTGCTGGTCTGATCTCAGAGTCATGCAACTATCGGTGCAGGTCTGATCTCAGTGTCATGTTACCATCAGTGCTGGTCTGATCTTAATGTCATGTTACTATCAGTGCTGGTCTAATCTCAGTGTCATGTTATTATCAGTGCTGGTCTAATCTCAGTGTCATGTTATTATCAGTGCTGGTCTAATCTCAGTGACATGTTATTATCAGTGCTGGTCTGATCTGTGTCATGTCACTATCAGTGCTGGTCTGATCTTAATGTCATGTTACTATCAGTGCCGGTCTGATCTCAGAGTCATGCAACTATCGGTGCAGGTCTGATCTCAGTGTCATGTTACTATCAGTGCTGGTCTAATCTCAGTGTCATGTTATTATCAGTGCTGGTCTAATCTCAGTGTCATGTTATTATCAGTGCTGGTCTAATCTCAGTGACATGTTATTATCAGTGCTGGTCTGATCTGTGTCATGCAACTATCGGTGCTGGTCTGATCTTAATGTCATGTTACTATCAGTGCTGGTCTGATCTCAGTGTCATGTCAATATCGTTGCTGGTCTGATCTCTGTGTCATGTTACCACCAGTGCTGGTCTGATCTTAATGTCATGTTACTATCAGTGCTGGTCTAATCTCAGTGTCATGTTATTATCAGTGCTGGTCTAATCTCAGTGTCATGTTATTATCAGTGCTGCTCTGATCTTTGTCATGTCACTATCAGTGCTGGTCTGATCTCAGTGTCATGTTACCATCAGTGCTGGTCTGATCTTAATGTCATGTTACCATCAGTGCTGGTCTGATCTCAGTGTCATGTCACTATCGGTGCTGGTCTGATCTCAGTGTCATGTCGCTATCGGTGCTGGTCTGATCTCAGTGTCATGTTAATATCGGTGCTGGTCTGATCTCAGTGTCATGTTAATATCGGTGCTGGTCTGATCTCAGTGTCATGTTAATATCGGCACATGGTGTCATGCAGACTTATGATCGGTGTCAGGTCGGAGCTCGGTACCTGCGAAGCGGATCTTGACCAGGTCCAGCGGGTGAAGCACCAGGGTGGAGATGACCCCTCCGCTCAGACCGGCCACCAGGTTCTCGAACTGGACGTGTCGGAAGAGTCGGGTAAGCTGGGAGCCCGGGGAGGCGGTGAGCCCAGCCTGTGCCGTCGGGCCAGTTGGGGCAGCCATGTGTCTGCGATCACAGTGACAACCGCACAGCACACCCGTTGCATCAGTCTGGGGGCTCGCCTGTGACCTCCAGCCTTAGCCCCGCCCGCTATTCCCCTCTCTGCTGACCTGCGTTCACATCTTGCCCTTCCTAAAGATGGCGGCTGACTTCTTCACGTGACCCAAATTTCACATTCTTGCAGCTATCGGCACAATCCCATGTGAGGGCAGAGGACCGGAGTAAAGATGGCCGCCGCACTGCTAGTGACGCAGTCAGTGTGAGCCCTGCGCCCGGTTCCGGCAACACGTGGTCCTAGCAGTGTTTACCACCATGAAGGTAAAGGTGCTGTGTCGGAATCCGGACGACTATGTACGGGAGACCAAGAAGGACCTGCAGAGAGGTGAGGACTGTACACCTGGTCATACACACCGGAGGAGGAATGGGGGAAGGGATGTTATGGTGACAGCGGATCCGACGGTCTCGGTGACCATGTGGACAGATGTGTGTAAAGTGGTACTGACATAAACTGCACGACTGTATCTGCCAATCAGATATAGATGAGATGATTGTCGCCTGATGCAGACAGAAGTGTCCTTCCTTACAAACACTTTTTACATTTTATTTCTCTTTTGGGTCACAGGAACACATTTACTATAGCTGCTGTCAGGATCCACCCACTGCTTAAGGGCCACCATCCACGTTATGATCAGACCTTAACTTTATATATTTCAAAGTTATGCAATATGAGGACCTGCCTAAACTATACAATCAATCTGTATCAAATCAGGCACTACAGTTGTTGGTAGATCTAAAGGAGATTATACAATCAGATTGCAATGTATGTGGTGAGTTTAAGTGACAGCTTGCTCTGCCTCTCTAGAGTCAGCTAAGGTCACCCCCTCCCATGTGTGTCCCTGCGATGAGCACTGGTGGAACAGAGACTGGAGGGGAGAATGCCTGCAGGATGGGCTTGGGTAGTTACTGACAGTCACCATCCTCTGCTGGGAGCAGAGACTCAGAACTGACCAATCACCTGAACGGTCAGCTCTTGGTTTTAAAGCCAGCGTTGGACACCTGCATTGTCACAAGGATGCTAAAGCTCCGGGGTGAATATGTAATGTTCTGCTCACCCAAAAATTGTTCTGCTATTCATGTCCTCCCGTTACCCTAAGGAGAACTATGGGGAAAACACTGACCCCATAGTTCTCCTTTAATGGGGCAAAGTCAAATATTTTTGGAGTATTTTCTCTTCTGGTTGAATGTCTTTGAGACTATAAATACAGGTGAAATGAGCAATAGCAGATTTTGAACAGTCCTGTCAGTTCCGATGAACATTGATATTTCTGTGTTACAAGTACATACTAATAGATAATAATCCCTTAGACTGGGGCTGATGATTGCCGTTGACAGAAACACCAGAAAATCCATCAAAATACGTGGGGGGCTTATATGGTGCATGGATTCAGATCCTCAGGTGCGATTAGGGCCGACTCTTTTAGGCCAGGTTCACACCATTTTCCAAACCAGATCTGGTCCACAAAATGGTATGGACCTGCCTACAGTTCCAGTGCATTCCAGACCAGACAAAATGAGACATGCAGTATATTTCTGGTCTGGAACGGACTGCGCTGGTGTGAATAGAGGCCAAAAATAGCATAGGGATACATTAGGATGCATTTTGGGTCCTGAAACAATCTGGTCTGGAGATGATCTGGATGTGGTGTGAATGGGCCCTTAAAGTGTGATGAAGCAACTGATCAGCATGCAGCAGTGGCCAGCAGGGATGCACGTCAAATGGGAACCAGGGTTGTAGTCTTTCATATAACGTTTGAGGCAGGGTGCTGTGATTTTTAAGGGAGGCCTGCCAGCCCCTCGCACCAAACTCAATCTTACTACGGAGCTGAGGCCATATAAACAGACCCGTGGATAACATCACTGGGCCTCAGAGCAGGTCTTTCTTGAATAAAATGATTTGAAACATTTAAATTGGATTGGGGATGGGGAGAGGAGCAAGAGACGGTATTATATGTATACATTAAACTCCCCGTTATCCTGCATCCTCTGGGATGGGTAGAGTCCGGATAAATATAGTCTCTGGTTGCTTGAGAGTCACTATTAAAAATAGGTCTAACTAATGCCATACCCCATACCATATTGACTTTATATTAATATTGAAGTGCAGTAATAAAAAGCAATTTAAGACAAATAGACACACGATCATTTCCAGAATAATGGATGTCGCAGATCAGCAAAACAGTGAGTACACAGGGGATTTTTTTTTTCTTCTTCTTCTAGTTAGATGAGAGTTCTGGTTAGTTGAATACCGGTTAACTGAGAGTTTACTGCAATCCAGTATTATGTTATTATGACATATATTTTATAGCACCTTTTTGTTTGCATTTGTTTTTTTGTAGTTCCTCGAAACTATGATCCTTCCCTGCACCCATTCGAGGTTCCTCGGGAGTACACCAGAGCCCTCAACGCAACCAAACTTGAGCGAGTGTTTGCCAAGCCGTTCGTTGCTTCATTAGATGGTCACAGAGATGGCATCAACTGTATGGCGAAACATCCCAAGAGCTTGTCAACAGTGTTTTCAGGAGCCTGTGATGGAGAGGTAAGGGACTCGCCACAATCCATTATCAAGGCTTTACCCGAGACATCGGAAGGGGAACTCCACCCAAAACGTTGTATTGTCTTAAACAGATAGTGGAAGGATTAGGACTTGTGACACTTTTCTTTATTGCTGTTTGGGAGATTCACTGTGACTTTGTGTCTTGGTGACCATTACCTTTGGAGCAGAAGGGGGAAGAGCAGTAATAAATTATACAGCTGTGACTGGGAACAGGAAGTGAGAGAAAATATTGTAACAGAACCTGTGTTCCATTGACAGATGGCAAAAGTGCAATTTGCTCTCCTTTTTTGATGTTCAACAGGAAGAAAGAGGAAATCTTCCTCAAAGACAGGAAGTGAGAAATCTTCAGAATGGGAAATCATGTGATTCATCATACTTAGTGCAGTGTACTTGCCCAAAACTTGCTGGGTGCTGAAATGGTGTGTAGATAGATGGTGCCGTTATCCATAAGCCACCAGCACACCATGATAAATCAAAGAGGAAAACATTTATTCTTGTCACAAGGAAAAAGTGTGACATTTCGGGGAAGGGATGCTTTTATCAAGGCAACAGTCATCTATAGCCTGCAGCATTCCAGCTGTGTGTCACAGTACCTCACATGTGCAGTCATCATTAGCATGAAACAGTCAGGCTGTGTAGCTCCATACCTTACATCAGAATCTGATGTTTGTCATGGATCAACATGTTGCAAAATCCGTTACATGCCGAGAGAAAAGTAAATGTTGCTCTTCTGGCTATCGACCATTGGTCACATTTGGAGGGTCGCTATGCCAATGACTGTCAAGGACGGACAGCCCATTTGTCTTGGTGAGATGGTTGCCTGTGTATAAGTACCCATAGATATGCATGTGGGAAGTGAGAAACAGTCAATTACAATCTCTGTGCAGCTCTGCTATTCAGTAAGTAGTATGTGTATGTAGAGCTGCAGCTAACGATTATTTTCAAAATCGATTAGTTAGCCGATTTATTAAGTTCAATTAATCGGATAAACAATAAAAAAAAAAAAATTAAAAATGGTTCCAGTGATGGGACTACTAGTTTGTATTGAGATTGTAGTCCATCACAGGAGCAAGGTTGGAGCGGTGGAGAAAAATAGTGTGGTGTGCAATATAGTGAAAAGGAAAGTGTAAAATTATACAGCAATGAATGCAGAATTGCACCGGCTATAGAGGACTACAAATCCCAGCAATAGTACATTATACAGCGCAACGCAGAATATCACCAGCTATAGAGGACTACAACAAATCCCAGCAATAGTACATTATAGCTGGTGGTATATTGCATTGCGCTGTATAAATTATTGAAAAAGTTGACAACTTTTTCAATAATCGATTATGTCGATTAGTTGTTGCAGCCCTATGTGTATGCAGTATTTGATGGGCACATATGGTCCTTCCCTGCCTACATAATACACAAAGGTCACCACCTGGGTTTAGTTAAGCAAATGGGTAAGAGCCTTCATAACCCATTTAATAAGGGTTATGATCTGGGGTTGCTTCAGTTGGTCAGGTCTAGGTTCAGCAATGTTATGTCCCCAAAAAATGAGGTCAGCTGCCAACCTGAATATACTAAATGACCAGGTTTTTCCCTCAATGGATTTTTTTTCTTTCCTGATGGCGTCGACATAGTCCAAGATGACAATGCCAGGATTCATCAGATTGTAAAAGAGTGGTTCATTGAGCATGAGACATCATTTTCACACATTGATTGGCCACCGCAGAGTCCACACCTTCACCCCACTGAGAATCTTTGGGATGTGCTGGAGAAGACTTTACACAGAGGTCCGACTCTCCCGTCATCACTACAAGATCTCGGTGAAAAATCAATGCAACTCTGGATGGAAATAAATGTTGTGGCATTACATAAGCTTATTGAAATGATGCCTCGGTGAACGCGCACTCTAATCAAAGCTAAAGGCGGTCCAATGAATTATTAGTGTGTTTTTTTGTTTTTTTTTGACCAGGCAGTGTATATAAATAAAACCCCAATATATATTTCAAATTTTTTTTCGAAGAACCTACTAAATATAAATAAGTTTAAAAAAAATGATCATAGCTTGATAAGAGTATTTAAATTATTCTTTCCAATTCAGATTAGATTTCTTTTAAAGGTGTTTGGAATAAAACTGACCAGCTTGCTGTTTATTTTGTTCAGGTGAAGATTTGGAATTTGGCCACTCGGCAGTGTACCAGAACCATACAGGCACATGAAGGATTTGTCCGAGGACTCTGTGTTCGCTTCTGTGGAACATCCTTTTTTACAGTATGTACTACCAAATATTATACATCAGTATCATCAGTGAATTTCCCACTGGACTCCACCTTATAGTCAATGCAAAATTCTACAGATATTTCAGGAAAGTCTAGATTTTGCAACCTTGTATCTGTTATATAAAGAAAACAATGTGTTTTATGATTAGGGGTGAGCTTGGATTCAGCCCAAACAAGGTCTGAAACTGATCTCCAAAGATGAGAGGA